TTTTCTATCATATTGCCTTGGAAAATAGTTTCGAATCTAATTTAATTTCAACTATCACAAGACTTTTTAGCCAGTTTGTATCACTAATTGCTGTATTCGACAGCCAATATATTACAGTATTCTTTGTATAATGGAAGACAATGGCCCACCATGGAATCACACCGTGCGTCGTTGTTTTTCGGCTATACAGGATGTTAAAACTACCAGGTACAGTACTGTCATCATTACTGACGATGTGGCCTGACCAATTACGTCAGTTGAGATCTAAAAATATTTTACCATACGGCTATAAATGCATGCGGATTGCAGGTTTCACCACTCAAAACTAAATCTCTCTGTGCAAACGTAACAGTCAAAAAGCTTCTATAAAGAAGAAACGTTTCAGAACATTGCAAATTGATTTGTGGTAAACCTTTGCTGTGAAAATGGTACGTAAATACTGTGTATGTATAGAGGCATTACAGTTAAGAAACTGTCTATGTCATTTCTGTATTACTTAAGTTGACGGTAACAGACTTTCTACAATTTGTTCCAACAAGACTACAAGTGTCAAGTTGCTAAATAGTTTGTATACGAGTTTGTTATTGTAAAGCTCCGCCGTATACAGACGGGCAATTTTTTCTTTGACAATTTTTCCTTGCCAAAGAGGCTTCTTCCTAAGCTACTCACGCCAGCTTTTGTACAACGAAAATTTGTTCGTGCATGTGTACGACCGCCGCGAAGGAAACTTGGCAAGTGTACGAGAAATAATTCTATCCATGTTTTGGCAAACAAAAGGCCTAGGCGATCTTGATGTACGATAAATGTTTAACAACATTCTAGATCTGTGCATGCACACGCGAGCACCAAAACTTGTCAATGGAAACTTGTTGACCGTCCACACGAGAAGGTAAACTTGTCAACGATTGAACGAAAACTTGCTCCCCTGTATGCGTGGCTTAAATCAGACTTGTTGGAACAACTTGTTGCGAGCCTGTTGGCCTCTTCAACTTTGTCACAAAATCTGAAAATGATAACAACTTGTTCCAACTGGGAACAGGCAATACGAACACATCTTGTTGACAAACTGTGAGATTTTTACGCGTATATAGATTAACAAGAACGAGAGTTGACACGAGAGAGTTCCTCAATTTTTATTTCCCAGCGATTAAACGAAAGAGAGAGCGACTTAAAAATTCGCTCAAATTTTATTGCTTGATCAAACGAGGACAAAAGTTTACAGAGAATAAGTTTTGCCAACTTTTATGTAACTTGATATAATTAGTTTAAAGTTTTACTTAACCGAGCTTTATTTGGCACGCATGTAAATATACATTATTACACATAGCTAGCACATACTAACACAGGAATAACAATAATAAACCAATTTGTAAAAGCGTGCCAAGATGAAGAAGCACAAACGAGTGTAGGTCCCATGCATGGCGCTCACCATTAATTACTCAGGACAGTATACAGACAAAATAACACATTAATATAGAAGAGAAAGAGATAGGGCAAGAAAGCAAGAAGCTAAAGTACATACTAACACAAGAATAACAATAATAAAACAATATGTAAAAAAGTGCTAAAGATGAAAAAGCACAAACGAGACTATAGGTCCCATGCATAGTGCTCACCATTAATTAGTCAGGACAGTATACAGACAAAACAACACATTAATATAGAAGAGAAAAAAAGACAGCGAAGGAAAGCAAGAAGTTAAAGTACAGTAGATTAAGAGTGAGGAGAGAAAGAACGACTGACGATATAGAAGACATTATTCAGTCGTGATCAATGAGTGTGACATAACAAACTTCGATGTTTTGAGCGAAGGCCCTAATAGGTAAAACCCATCATCCCTTGCGCGCTCAGAGTCTAAGATTCTGGAAGGACAACCTTAATTGAATCAGCTGCATATTTAGATTTATCTCGACAACCGCCAACTTGCCACTGTAGCTCAGTTGGTCAGAGCGCTGCACCGGAATCGTAGGGTTATAATTATTCATTAATAATTCTGTTTCCTTTTTATGTATAGAATCAACATATATCCTTTTATTTTATCGTGCTTTTTTGCCTGGTATCATTATGTTCAACTAAAACACCAAAGGGTCCCTCATGTAATTCGCCCCAGTCTATCTCGATAACAAAACTCAAGGATCGTTATGTGTTTGTAAATACGACTGGCTTTCTGCCGAGAAAGGCCAACCTTGGTCACCACAGCGGTAGTCACTCAGGGAACAAATGGTGTCCGTGGACGTGGGCGACAGACGTAGACCACTCTCGCCTACCACCAAGAATGGCTTCTGCGAAATGTGATAATTGTGACAAGGCTGTATGCAAACCCATGTACATGCATCTTGATGCATTAAAATGGGCTTCTCAATGTGACTCGAAAACCGGGGATAAATATCGTGAATGGTCGACAGTCAAGCTTCCTATAGCTTATATTTATACAGGAAACATTTGAACTGAGAAATAATGACTTGGACTTAAATTAATCCATCCATTCTGTTCAACCCTATACTTTTAATATTACCAAATATTATTTTTTATGCACAATTTTAGATTAGCATTTCCCTTAAAGAGTATAATATTTTGGGGGATTTTATATTCACTATTAACAAAGCGCTTATTAATACACTTGTCTTATATATAATTCATAGTTAATATATATGCGATATGTAGCTCAATGATTCATATATATGAGAAAAGATGGCAAAAATTGACGTCCAATATAGCTATGAAAATGTTTTCTAACGGACCGTATCGCAAATGAAGTTATCAATTCTTCAAAAACTCATTAATAATTCATGAGGAAAACACAAAGAAAAATCATAAGCGTGTCCTATCTTTATGTACCATTTAAAAAACGAGCAGGAGTGTTTTATTAGGTTTAAAGCCACGAGCGCGCAGCGCGAGTGGCTTTAGACCTAATAAAACACGACCTGCGAGTTTTTTAAATGGCTTCAAAAACGTTTGCATAATAAGTCAAATCTTTATAAAAATCTTTTTATAAAAATCTTTATATAAAAATCTTTATATAAAAATCTTTATATAGTTTGCATAACAATGGTCTTTTGTTAAAGTGTTATTTAGCTGGTATAAAGACGTATGCGCGTGACTAATTTCTTACTCAAGATTGGATAATTGCTTCATGAACTAATTAATGAGTTTTTGAAATTGTGATAAAACACTCCTACTCGTTTATTAAACATTACATAAAACCATAGTTTTAATTTTATTCTTTAAATCGATTTCAAAAACTCATTAATAATTCACCAGGAAAACACAAAGAAGAATCATAAGCGTGTCGTATCTCTATATGTGATAGAGATTTTCCTTGATTTACATCAACTTTAACTTTGATTTTCTCAACTTACACAACGTATTTTTTGAAATTACTACGCCAATGAACTTACTAGATTGATTTGCTTTTGAAGCAATTTAAAACTTCCGCAGTCTGTGTTTTATCAGACCTAAAGATACTCGGCTTCGCCTCGTATCTTTATATCTGATAAAACACTATGCAAAATGTCACCACATGCACTCCTTCAAGCTTCGTGCTAACCGCGCAGACAAAGTGATAGAAAGGGATTGGACCTGACCGTCTGATTATAGCTCTTCAATTTCCGCCATCTTGTTTTCACTTTTTGGACTTGCTCCAGTTATATATTGAGATCATTGGGGTTATCTCATTTATTTTGTATCCATGAAAGAGTATCCATGAATCTATATATTAATTCGCATGCATGTATTTATTTAAAAGGCCATGGGCATAATAATTTCTTCTTAATATAATTTATTAACGTTATCAAAGTTTTTTCTCAAAGAATTAACCGGTATTGTAAAAATATATTTATAAGTTCTTTGTATGTTTGCATGGTGATAAAATATAATAGGTTTTGTTTGTGGAAACACCACGTAAATTTATTACTGCAATATATAAAAATATATATAAAAATATAAATAAAAATATATTAAAAAAAAAAAATATATATATATATATATATATATTATATTATATATTATATTAAATATATTAAATATATATAAAAATATATTTGTTTGTAAAATTTATTTAAGCTATACTATAATTCTAGAAATTAAAGAATAGAAAAGAATTGCACATTACAATGCAAGCTGTTCTGATTTACTTTAAGCGTGCCTAAGTGGTTTTCAAAGCAGTTGTGTAATGGCAATTGCTAGATAGTATACTTCAAAATAAGGTTTCCGTTTTTATATCAATTTTTAAAATAAGTTGGGGTTAGGTTAGGGTTTAGGTTAGGGTTAGTTTAAGGTTAGGGTGAGGGATAGTATTAGGGTTAGGGTTTAGTTTTGAGTTAGGATAGTTTTTTCTACGTTATAAAAACGGAAACCTTATTTTGAAGTATACTATCTAGCGATCACCGTTGTGTAATTGTTCTTTTATCCAACCGCGCAGAAGCCCTGGGTACGAAGTTGACTACGAAGTTACCTCATTTCGACACCTCCCCAATCGTAAAATTACCATGCGGTCCCTTTTTCATCATTCGTATTACTTCTATTGGACTATAAAGTCAGAAAATATACCTAGTGTGATGAAAAGTAATCAAACGCATATATCCGACCAATTTTATTGTTCACTCCGTTATTCAAATATTACATTTTTAACAAAAAGTCCAGTTCATAAAAAGGCTACTGTATCTACATTGTTTTCATTAAAAAGAAGCATTATTGAACGTAAAACTGAAGAATGATGTTCAGAAATCCCACACAAAATGTCTTTTTGTAGAAAACACACCACTCTATAAGTATATCTGTATTTAAAAGGTATGGTAGTCTTCGCATGGTAAATGCGTTAGTCCCATTCCGGATGTATGGTGAACGAACACGGAATAGGACGATGTGGTAATACAAATGTCACTTTGTTATTTCTAATCAGTTCCACCCGAGAAATCACAATTAAGACAAAGAAAAATTCCACTTCGCGCGAAAAATTCATAAATAAATAAATAAATACACAAATTTTGAAGGCTATATTTTAAAAAACTGTGGCACTTTGTCGTTTTGAAAAACAGAAAATTTAACGAGAAATGTATTGCATGCATGTATGTATGGAATTTTGCATTGAACAAGCAAGCATTACAAGTCATGTTTTCTAGTGAAATTTCAAAGCTCATATTGTTTGTGAAAATAGAGCCATAAAGCATTTTGAATTAGAAAATAGAGTAATTATAGCCTTTAAATTTTATGTACTCACATGCTCTTTTTATTTCTGTTGAGATTGGCAGATTGCTAAATAATTATTTCAGTAGATTCATTCAAAAAGCGTGAAATGTCTTTGTCTATCTATCTATTGTTGTCGTCCACGTCGAAAGTAATAAAAAATAAATCTTTAAACCTATATATGTTTTTTTTTTATATTTCAATAATCACATTTGTTGGGTATAATACAAAGAATTCCCACATATTATCTACAGTATGATTATTTCCGCATACTGCTTGACTTCCGCTTCTGTGTGTGACCTTGTTCAGGCCTCATACAGAGTAAAATAATTGCTTGCTGTTATACAACTTGCATGGTTCTTGGTCACCGAAGCCGGCTGCTTTCGCCATATAGTTGCCTAGTTACGGCAAACATTGACATGTTTTACACAATCCTGCAAGATCGAAATTATACAGTAAGCCAGTGGTAGGGGGGCCGGGGTTTCAATTGACTAGCGCATAATATAGCCCGATACTGGGAGATGAAAATTAGAAGCCGCACGTGTATCAAAGTGCGCATCTAAATCATCTCGCAAACCATGGACAAAAGAGTGGCCGAGAATTAAAATACCTGGGACACAACTTGACATGATAAGAATATCAGAGAAGGAAAAATTAATATGAATACCTTATCAATTTACTTCAGCCAGAGAGTTGACCTTGCGCGACCATGCATGCATGTGCATCAATTCATTCTGCTCTTCAATCTACTGCTGTAGAATATATCACCACTCCTATCCGCTTCCTGTGCATTACATTCATGTGACTACGAATTATCGGGGGGCTAATACCCACGTGTTACATTACAATAGCTCCTTATTTCTAAAACTAGATGCAGGAAGAAATAAAATCTTTATTGGTATGCCAATAATTTCTTTAGTTTTCCGGAATCTTTTTGTGTCAAAATTAATGGCTGAACTATTCAAATCCTCACTCCAGAAAAAGATGGGTTATAGTCTTTTAACGAATTTGCAAGATTGCAAATAAAATTAATAAATCGCAAGCGGTGTGTTAAAATTCAAATGTAGGAAATGTATATAGGAAAAGGGAAATTGCGTTTTTTCGAACTACGCTACAATTAGCACATTGTCATGAGAAAAACATATGATAACGGTATAACTTCTAGTCTTCTGAACGTCCGACTATAATTTAGTCAGTTCTCTAAAAAAGAAGTGCAATATGTCTGGTAAAATACTATAATTCATGATCCCCGCCCGGATCTGCTCAACCTTAAAATTTTGTCGGTATATGCAGGCAATTATGGAAATGACATCCTTGTCAGTTTCTCGTCAATCTCGTTCCCAGAGTATGCCTGTTCGCGGGTTAGGTTGTGGCATGCCACAACCTAACCCGCGAACAGGCATACTCTGGGAACGAGATTGGTTTCTCGTTGAAATACGTTGCTTAAAGCAAAGCTACGGTGAAGATCAGTTCAGGTGTTAATCTCAACCCATCCTGTCAACATTACCTGTTGGAGGAAACGGGAGTACACGGGGAAAAGCCACGACTTTCGCTAGAGCGTTCTGCAGCGTCGGCTGACTCTTTTCACACATATAAAGTATCATGAGTCCTCGAATCGAACCCACGATCTCAAGGCACTTGTTCTGATTAGTTCAGCTTTATATAATAATGGAAATTATATTTATATCACAGAATCATCAGCAAATGGTAATATTAAAAGTTATGCTTAATTGATTTTCCTAGTTAGTTTTTGCAATTAAATCGGTCGAAATGCGCCTTAAAAACCATCATTCAGAAGGTTGAACTGCGCCTTAACAACCGGCGAGCCATTTCCAGAGTACCCAAAAAACCTTCGGCGTTTTAATATTCCAATGGCTTTTTTACTGCAATGGCTTTTAACATCTTCAGTTTTGTAAATTTCCACTTTTTATCTAGAATTTGACTTTGGAGATTTTTGGACATGTATTTATATAGTAAAGCGCAGCGATGGGGATTCTAACTGCTCAGGCGAGTGACAATTAATAATTACATTAGTATATGCGAAATGCGAGTGCGCAGCACGAGCATTTTAGATATGATAAAACACGGCTACAAGTGTTTTGAATGCTTCAAACACGACTACAATAGGTGCCGTTCATTAGTATTCTTTATATAAAGAATACTAATTAGGATGGGCTTTTATATAAAAAATACTAGTGAAGATGAGTTTTATCAGGTATTAAAAAAATTAATGGTAATAATTCATGAGGAAAATGCAAAAGAAATGAATGTTTAATCAGTGTTTGTAAATCGGATAAAGATTTGTCCTAATTTACATAAACTAATTCAGCTTTGATTTTCTCGGATTAGACAATGTTTATTTTTAAAATTACTTCGCCAGTGAACTGACAAGATGGTCGTTTTTTAAGCACGTTAAAACATGAGCTGCCGATCTTTATATCAGATAAAGATCGGCTGCCCATGTTTTAACTAGTACTTAAACCTCTTCACGTGACATATTATTGCTGACATGATTTGCCGGCAATAAGCTTACGAATTATTAAGGAGTGTTTGAAAGTATTGTAATATGTTAACCAACTTGCTTTACTATGTGTTCTATACTGTATGTTTATATTTGTTTTTGTTCACATATACCGGACTAATATTATTGTTAACATCAAATGTTGTCCTTATGTAAGCACCCCGTATATAAGTCCTCCGCCCCCCTCCCCGTCATGTATAAGCCAGCGAAGACTGCATACCTGACGCGAATTAAGTTATCGGTATCATGCATTATGATAAAGCAGCATAGAAAAGGAAAACCTTAATTAAATATATATTCTATGCTCGGATCAGTAGCGGTAGAACTGAAATGATAACAGCAGGGGGGAGGGGATGACAAGGTGTGAAGAGTGCAGCATGATCAATATGGAAAGTTCCAGTATTTCTTCTTGGTTCCAGTAATTCTTTATTTAGTGCTTTTTTTTAAGAAAGGATTTAAATAAAAGATCAGTCAAATTTATGTCCGTTGTCGACGTCTGCATGTGTGTTTAGCTGGAAGTGAGCTATAGTCGTGTCTGTTGATTGCGTTTTGGTGTTTTGTTAGTCTTGTCTGAATCTTTTTAGATGTCTGTCCAATGTACTTATCCGGACAGTTTTTGCAAGGGAACATATAAATGGCGTTATATATATCTGTTATATGTGTTTTGTCTTTGTGTTTAGTGGAGTTGGACCTTGTGTGCAACGTCAATGTTGAATAAAGTAAAAACAAATTCCAAAAAGACAAGACATCTTGAGAATTCAATATATGATTCAAAGCAAGACGCAGGTTGAAACTGTTAATTTTCGATTTTATTTCAAAGTCATCTTCAGACAGAATGAAATACAATACTTTACAAAACACACACATATATATATATATATATATATATATATATATATATATATATATATATATATATATATATATATATATATATATATATATATATATTTATATATATATATATATATATATATATATATAGCTTAAGATTTTGGTTTACGAAACACATGAAACAGTGCTCAATACCATATACAGTGTGTATCAAA